TGCTGTATATACGGTACATTAGCAGGTTTGGGGAGTAATGGAATACACGGAATGGCATTTCTATTTAGGATACAAATACAAGGGTAACTCAAGTGGCCATTTGATGAACTGCAGGGTTTAACACTTCCACACTGGCTTCAGGTCTCAGCCTCAAAGGTTGCTGCTTGACTGCAGCAAGGTAGCTAGCTGAAAAGCCTGGTGCTGTCTATGTTTAGCATCTCGTGTTCCCAGATAAGCTAGCTAGTCCTATTATTGCTCTAGTTCACCACTGATGTCACACTCCCTTTTGGACTATTTAACTAACTGCATTATGTGTTTATGTATTCACTGACATTTTACCTGATAGTCATGTCCCGCTTTTACATTTGTTTTGGGGTTCCATACATAGCAGCTAAAAACACAGGAGAAATTAGCTGAATATAGACCTTAGTTGAGTGTGACTGTGGTTTAACCTCTGTTTTGATCTCTTTCTCACTCTCAACAGACTGTGCCACACTTCTTTAAAATAGAAGTGGTAAGTGTAGACAGTAAATGGTAAGAGATGCATTTTAAGGCCTCTCATGCACCATTATATATGTCCACCCAAGTTTTAGTGAAACTTACTTTCATTTTGCCCAATATATAAAACTGTAGCACCCTAGACTTCCAATAAGCTGTTTTACATCTTTAAAACCCTCAAAAAAACAAGTTACACTTGCGCCAAAGCTTTCTCACTTCTATCATCTAGGAAGACATTATGGTAATGACTCCAGCTTGTGTTTTTGATTACTTTAAGCCCAATAGCTCCCCACAGTACAGGATCTGAAGTCCTGCCCCCGTGACCCCTAAGATCAGTTTAATGCCCCGCCTCTGACCTCTGACCTCTTGGTCTTGACCTGCATCGCAATGTTCCTTGAAACTGCAACTGATGAGATTAAAGGGGATTCCCTCCGTCAACAACCTTCTGTTTCTAGTTTGTTGCTATTTTGAGGATAATATCTGTTAATTTTTCAGCTTCCCCCTTTAAAGTGACAGGCTCTAAAGTCCAGAAAATGTAGCGGTGTCATAAAATGGACTATTTGGCACAAAATTCCCCTGAGAGTTTTATTCTTCTTGTGTGTGATCTTGGAGCATCAGCTGGTGAAACACTGCCCACCCACAGAGGCCCTTCTCGTGGGGAGAAGCCAGAAGTGTTGTCTCCTCTCTGGATCTCTGAGCTGTCCTCATGTAAACAGCCTCCCTGCAGCGGGAGGAGACAAACACAGCAAACTGTATTACTTCACTTGACAAAGTCATTCACTTCTAAAGAATGCAAATTTAGATTGTGAACATTCTCTTTCCTTTATCACACTGGAAAAACAGTGTTGAGTTATTGGAAGCATTATGAATATCTTTTTTTCTGCAGTGGAAAAAGGGAGATATGGCCAAGAAGGAGTGATCAGAGGTCCCTAAAATAGAGTGGCGTCTGAGAATGGAAAAGAGAAAGGTGAACGGAGCTGGGTGGTGTGCTTTGATTAAGCCGATTCTACTTCAGTGCCCCCAAAGAACCTGATTCATTTCAGTGGAATCCTTACTTTTCTTTGGTGGATATAGCCTGTTTTGGTTTTCAGAGATGGTTCAGCTTTGTAAGTCATGAAGCATTATTGTTTTCTTTTAATAAATGGTCTTTTGTGTAATGTTTAATCTAAATGTTTTTATTGAGGCATGCTGTGTGTGTGTGTTTACTTTGGCGATAATGGCTAGTGTGCCCTTTTTTGTTTACAAGTCTTATTAGCTCTTCACTCCCACACTTTTAACGCCATTTGCTTATTCCCCTTCTCACTCATCGTGTCTGAGACAAGTCAACAAGATATCTCCACAAGCATGAGCACATTGTGGACCTGCGTGCAAGCACACATGCAAACGCACAGACAAATATATACACATAGAAGAAGCCCCTGTTCTCTGTGTATTTATTGTTGACTAAAGATAAATGAGCATTTGCATTAGCGATGTAAATAGAAATTCTGAGGGAAAGCTGTTTCATTTATTCTGCTCAAATCTCCACAGGCAGTTTAGCATGGTTCCCATGACAGAGCTGCATCAGTGCAGTGGGTGGCTTCTGCCAGCCCCTTTATTTTATTTTAGACCAGAGGCTCATGGGAAAGCTATTTCAAGACCTTTTCCTGTCTGCCTCAGAAAACAGTGCCAGTGGCTTGTTAGCAGGTGCAATTTGAATAGCAGGTTTTTTTTTTGAAAATTGTTTAGTTTTTACTTGACAGCTTAATATATGCTTTTGTTTGTTTGATTTTCATGTCTGTGTGTATGACAGAAGGTGGGGGTCATGGGGCCTTCTCTGTGGATATATATTTGTCATGGGTAGCTTTAATGTAAGTTAGGGAACTTGCTGCAACAGCAGGAAGTTTGATCTCTTCTGCAGTTTTATCAACTGTACATGTTTTTTTTAATTTAAGTTCTAAATAATGACTCATTAATTACTGAAAGAATAATTTACTAATGCTTTACAGATAAGACCTTGATAAGAAATACTTTTAGATTGCTAGGTTGTAAAAACTGCCCTCTGAAAAACTATTGATTTATGAACAACTTTTCAAAAATTACAATTTGGGCTTCACTGATTTTTACAAAGACTTATTATTAATGACTTAATATGTATAACAACATGTCTGACGGCTTAATTTAAAATGGAAAACCTAATGCTCATTTATTAATGGAGTAATAGCATTTAAAGATAAATAAGATAAAGACAAGCTTGTTCGAGTAACTGTGTTACATATTTAGGATATAAAAAATGTACCTATTTTCCCTTAACGTTACAGAGAAAAAGGGTGTAATGTGATTACTGATACATTTAATAAAAATGGAGATTATTAGCAGCATTACAATTTTAACATGCTTTTAACGTGCTTGTTAAGTATGCCATTGAATGGCATACTTAACAAGCACATTTAAATGAAATGTGCATAATTAGTGTTACCACCAGTAAAATAAATGCACATTATTCATACATAACAAAGGATTAGGTGGACAAACAATTAATGAACCAAATAAATAAACAAAGTTTAGTAGACAGGTCCACACGACTTGTATCTGGTTCCCAGCTTTCTTTGTTGACCCCAAATGGAGGTATTTCAGAAATCTGAAGAAATTCACATTATGCTGTATTTCACAAGAAAAAAGTAATTAGACGAAAAGCAACCACTTTTTGAAACAGGAAGTTATCTTTCTTGCTTATCTCTTTAACTATCTTGTGACCCTCTAGATTCATCTTAAGACCCCCAGAGGTAACCTGATGCTCTGCCTAATAACAAATGTGCACCAAGTGGTCTATTCACATCACACATTTTGACTTGTCATAGTAAAAGTACAGGTGTCTTTCATAATGGCTGTGCTTTATTTAAGTGCCCCTGTAAGACACAGCAGTATGAAAGTGAACAATACTAGGACTTAAAGTGTCTTTAACCATCATTTGTTGGATTATTTACATCTGTGCTTTTCCTACTGCAACATATCAACATGCATTCTGCGAAAAATGACTACCTAGTACTTTTCAACAAAAGGAAATATACCAGCAGGTGTCACATACATACATACACACACATAGGCCTAATTATTACTAGTAAAATAATTTTAAAAAATACAAACAAGGTCCATTCTGCCCTTACAAATGACTGGCAACATTAAAACAAATGAATATGGTCAGAATTGTATCTGAATATTCAACAAAATATTCACAATTTGTTGCTTATTACTTTCTCTCAGTCATAAACTTACAGTAACAGTGGTGGTGCTAAGGTGCAAAACATACTGTAATGTTTCACAAAATACAACAGCATTTTATTAAACACCCCATCATTTTAAACACTGTGACTGTCATTGTGTTTTGTGAAATTTTGTGTTTTGCACCTTAGGGCCATGGTAATTAGATAAAAAAATAAATTACAGAATGAGTATAAAGTTGAAAGTACATGTATGTACATAGAGTAAATGCTTTGGATGGAGTACAGTACATACATACACGTTTAATCAAATGCACTCATGCTTGCTTTGGCAGGATGACATGGAGTACGCTGTGTGTAGTAACACTAACAGACTTGCCAAGCCTGTGGATAATATCGTCTGGAGTGCACGCCACATCTACGGTACATTTTGGAGACGTGAGCTGTTCTGACTGATGGACACGTCTCTCTAGGGTGGACACCTTGCCTGCAAAAGCAGAACAGCTAACACAAGCTGTCAAAACACAGTTAGCATGTTAGCAGGTAACTAGAGGCTAAGCTAACAGGGCAGCAATAGACTATCCCCTAACGAGGTTGTTTTAAAACAAACCGTAGCAAGTCTAAATTGGTATGAATTTAACGCATTGAGTTGCAATGAATAGCAGAAGCTATGTAATGTTATTAGAGTGAGAAAAAAGTAGAGTTTAAACAGAAACCGGAAACCAGGAGCAGATAGCTGGTACTGATCTCACGAAAATCACAATGTGCATCATGGGAAGCAGCGTCACAGGAAGCAGCCGCACAATCACAGACCCACATATTGTCGATTGTATGAATATACTGCTTATACTACACACTACTCTACATACACATAGTGCAAAAACACAGTCCATCATTCAGCCACTATTGCTTAATTACAAGTGCATGTTGCTGTGGCTGAACTGTGCTGAACCACACACACACACACACAACCTTCAGCCACATCTTTACAGACATCCACTACTTCTTAATGCATGATTATGCTGAATCCAATAAAATAATAATAATAATAATAAAATGTTTTTGTGTATAAAAAAATGCCAGCAAGGACTAGGATAAAGGCAAGAGCATAAATAAAGAAGGCAGCGGAGGCGTGTGTATGCATGTGAGAGGCAGAC